AAAAAAAAAAAAAAAAAAAAGCTCTCTATGGGGCTATTGAGTTAGTTTCATTATGAGAAATTAGTTAGTGGGTACCATGTGCTGAGTCTGTCCCGCAGACTCTGGCTGAGCAACAGATGAAAGGAGTACGCAGATACAGGTATTTTGCCTTGTGAGTGCAGCTAGGGGACCACATGGCTTAGCACCACCACTGACCAGAAAGTGGCTGATAAGCTGGAGAACCTTGTATTTATTTTAGTACAGATTTAATGACAAAGGCCTGGCGCAAACATCCTTTGTCAGTAATTAACATTGTCAACCCCCTGAGTAGGGGGTAGTCCTGAGCAGGGATGATCAAAGGTTGGTTTCTGGAAAAACAGGTAAATAAACTTAGCTAGGTAAATTCTTTTGCACCCCCTTGTTATCTGCCCTTCGCCATTTGCCTCAGGGTAAGAACAGCCTCCTTCAGCTCATTCTTCCCCACAGCTTTGCAAAACCTCCCAGCCTTCCAAGAAGGTTTGCGCCTTTCCTGTAATTTTTCCCACAACCCTGACCGATATCCTACAACCATGTGCATTATCATTATTCAGGTGGTATATATATCATAAAAGCCCTGACTTCACCATTATCCAATATATGCATGTAGCAAAATTGTATTTGACCTCTACATTTATATAATTTTTTAAAGAAAACCTAAAACTAACATTCTTAAGGGTGAGAAACTGGATGCTTTTCCCCTAAGAATAGGAGCACATCAAGGATGTCCCTGTCACCATTCCTATTCAACATTGTACCAAACATCCAATTACTGCAATAAGACAAGAAAAAGGAAATAAAAGGTATAAAGATTGGGAAGACATAAAAATATCTTTGTTTACATATGACATGATTCTCACAGTATAAAATCTCAAAGAATGCACAAAAAACTCCTGAAACTTATATAGCAAGCCTGCAGAAGGGAAGGCTAATATGCAAAAGACCTTTGCTCTTCTAAATACCAGCAATGGCTAGGCACGGTGGCTCATGCCTGTAAGCCCAGCACTTTGGAAGGCCGAGGCAGGTGGATCACCTGAGGTCAGGAGTTTGAGACCATCCTGACCAACATAGTGAAACCCTGTCTCTAGCCACGCATGGTGGCAGGCACCTGTAATCCCAGCTACTTGGGAGGCTAAGGCAGGAGAATCACTTGAACCCAGGAGGCAGAGGTTGCAGTGAGCCAAGATCATGCCACTGCACTCCAGCCTGGGTGACAGAGTGAGACTCCATCCCCCCCACAAAAAAAAAATACCAGCAATGAACAGTAGAAACTTGAAATTGAAAACAAGACCTTTTACGTCAGCACCAAAAATTTTAAATGCCTAGGCATTAGTTTAATAAAATATATGCAGAATTTATATAAGGAAAACTATAAAACTTTGTAAAAGAAATCAAATAAGGCCTAAATAAATGGGGTAATATTCCATGTTTAAGGATAAGAAGACTCAATATTGTCAAGATGCCAATTCTTAACTTGATCTATAGATATAATGCAATCCCAATCAAAATAAGCAATTTATTTTGTGAATACCAACAAACAGATTCTAAAGCTAATTTGGAAAGACAAAAGACCTAGACCAACCAACAAAAAACTGAACAAGAAGAACAAAGTCAGGGGCTTACCACCACCAAACTTTAAGACTTTTTTTTTTTTTTTTTTTTTTGAGACAGAGTCTGTCTGTCGTCCAGGCTGGAGTGCAGTGGTGTGATCTAGACTCATTGCAACCTCTGTCTCCCAGGTTCAAGCAGTTCTCCGGCCTCAGCCTCCTGAGTAGCAGGGATTACAGGCATGCACCACCATGTCCAGCTAATTTTTGTATTTTTAGTAGAGACTGGGTTTCACCATGTTGGTCAGGTTGGTCTTGAACTCCTGATCTAGTGATCCACCCACCTCGGCCTCCCAAAGTGCTGGGATTACAGGTGTGGGCCGCCATGCCCAGCCGCTTTAAGACTTTATATAAAGTTACAGTAATTAAGATAGTGTGACACTGGTGAAAGAATACGCTAATTAACTGGCAGAACATAACAGAGAGCCCAGAAATAGACTTGCACTAATACAGTCAACTGATTTTTGTCAAAGGGGTATAGGTAATTAAATCGATAAAGGATATTTTCAACAGTGGTGCTAGACCCATTATACATCTCCATGCAAAATAGGAATCTACACACAGATCTTACACCTTTAACAAAAAACTCAAAATGCATCCTTAATCTAGATGCAAAATGCAAATGTACAAAGCTTCTAGCAAGTAACATAGAAAATCTAGATGACCTTGGATTTTTTGATGAGTTTTTATTATTTCTGTTTTTCATTAATTTTTGTCTTCTTTTTCTGATACCTAGGTAGGATCCAAAATTCATGAGTTTTTAGATACAATAATGTGAAAGAAAAAAATTAATAAATTTGACTTTATTACAATTTAAAACCTTTGCACTGAAAAAAAAAACAAAAACAAACAAACAAAAAACCTCGTTAAAAGAATGAACAAACAAGCCACATACTGGTAGAAAATATTTGAAAGAAAAAATTGGATATAGGACTTACAATCAAAATAGACAAAGAACTCTTGGAGCTCAATGGTAAGAAAACAACCCAATTTAGAAAATGGACAAAAGATCTGCCGAGACCAGCTCAGTCGTGCAGACCCCAACCTAGGCAGTGCTGAAGGAATTAAGAAACAGATACAAAGACAGAGTGCAAAAGTGGGATCAGAGTGGGAGGCTGGGGGGCTGACAGCATTTCCCAGCTGAGAGCCCAGAGCAGAGTCTGACCCACGTATTTATTCTTTGTGAACAAGTGATTACTTTTAATAAGGAGGTGCTCAGTGTTTCTTCATAGAGTTGAGATAGCCTAAACAGGCGGACAGTGCCTGTTCACTGCTAAAACAGAAATAAGCTAGAAAGCACTCTTTGTAAGTAAGCAATGGGGACAAGGTCATATATTCTGTGTTTTGGGAGCTGGTTTAACTAGTGCATGACTAGTACACATTGCTTACTATTCTAGCAGTTTTCTGCCTGGGGATGGCTCAGTGTTTCTTGCCATCACCTCTCAGCAAATAACATATACTCCATCACACACATCAAGACCTCCTTCCAACAACAAACACTTTACCACAGATGATAGACAGATGACAAACAAGCATATGAAAAGATGCTCAACATCATATGTCATTAGAGAATTACAAATTAAAATGGCAATGAAATATCCCTACACACATATTAGAATGGGTGATTTTTTTTTTTGCATTTTAGGTTT